CTTACCCCCTCCTCTCTTCCCCCCCCCCCCCCCCCCCCCCCGTCCCCCCACAGGGCAGCCAACGAACGTACGATTTTTTGCAGGTGCCCAACCACCACCGCTGTTACTCACTGCGGGATGGCTATGTTGATGGATGACAGTCATTCGTGGACGGGATCTGGCGGCAAAGGACAAGCGCGGAACGTCGGATCCGTATGTAGTGGTCAAGGTGGATGGCTCCGAGTTCCGCACCTCGGTGGTGAAGAAAGAGCTCAACCCGCGGTGGAACGAGTTGTTCTCCTGCCCGGTCCACTCCAACCAGGCCGTCTTCCATCTCGAAGTGTGGGACTGGGACAAAATCGGGTCGGACGACTTTATGGGCGAGTCAAAGCTCTCGCTCTCGGCCTGCCCCGAGTTGGGCAAGTACATGCGGATGTGGCTGCATCTGGTGCCGCGCAAGTCGGAAAAGGTCTCGGGTGACGTCGAGGTCATGGTCAAGTACGAGCCGCTCTCGCCCGAAGAGGCGGCGGTCAAGTCTGCGTCGCGGCGCCGGCGCCGGCATGTCGACGTCGCGTACACCTTTCCGCCGCCGACATTTCTCAACTCGCTGCCGCAGGTGGTAGACCCGCTCGACGAGATGATAGTCGACGAGCCTGTGGCGTCGGCGCTGGTCCCGAATGCGCTCTTCACTCAGTACCTGGAGGAGCCGCGCGGCGAGCGCGATTGGTACAAGCGGTTCTTTGCGAGCCATCCGCACGACGTGTTTGTGGCCAAGGTGCCGACCATGCGCGGCGCGGTGGCGGTGGCAGTCCTCGTCTCGGCCGCGCCGCACATCGGGCTCCAGTACTGGGTCGAGGTCTTCTCGACCGCCGAGGTGGTGCAGTACATGTTGGAGGACGAGTCCGAGACCATGCTTAGCCTCTCGCAACTGCTCGCCCGCATCGGCGACGGCGCGCTGGCCAAGCACGCCAAACAGTTTGTCCGCGTCTCGCACCAGCCCAAGGTGGTGGCGGCGCTCTCGCGGATCGAAGACCCCGAGCCTGACGACAAGATCAAGATTGGGGTCCTCTTTGCGCGGCAAGGCCAGACCAACGACGACGAGATGTTCTCCAACATTGACGGCTCGCCGGCGTTTGAAGAGTTCCTTGACCTCATCGGCGAGCGGGTGCGACTCAAGGGGTTTGAGGGCTACTCGGCGCAGCTCGACACGTCGAACGACGGCTCGGGCCTGTACTCGGTGTACGAGCCGGACTTTCGCGGGTACAAGGTCATGTACCACGTCTCGACGCTGCTGCAATATGACGAGACCGATCCGCAGCGGGTTCAGCGCAAGCGGTTCATCGGCAACGACATTGTGGTGGTCGTCTTTGTCGACGGCGACACCATTTACTCGGTCGACACCATGAAGTCGCAGTACACCCGTGTGCTCATCGTGGTCCAGCCTGACCCGGCTGACCCGGGCCAGTACCGAGTCTCGACCGCGTACGCCCGCGACGTCCGCGACTTTGGCCCCGACTCGGTGGCCTACTACCCCAAGGACGCGCGCTTCAAGGACTTTCTCCTTGCCAAGTGCATCAACGGCGAGCTGGCCACCAAGGCCTCGCCCGAGTTTGTCGTCCGCGAGCGCCGGACTCGCCAGCAGTACCTCGACATGCTGTACGATGATTTTTCGCCCGCCGGCCGCAAAGACACCACCCTTGCCGGCGAGGCGCCCGGTGCCGGCTCTTCAGCCGACGGTCCGGGCGGTGTCGGCTCGACGACCATGGCCGACCTTGAGTTTGTCCCGCCGCAAGTCCTGCAGTTCACCCCGCTCCTCGAGGGCGTGCCCGGCAAGGTCGCCGCCATGGAGCAGCACGAGGACGCTCTGTTCTTTGGGGCCAAGGGAGGCCTGTACAAGACCGTCATCGGTTCGGCCGACTGCGTCAAGATCCTCTCACTCGAGGGCGTGGTCCAGATCGGCGTCGATGCTGAGAACGACTACCTCTTTGTCCTCACCGCCGAGCCCGAGCGCATGCTCGCTTTTACCCTCTCGGCGCTGATGGCCGGGACCAAGCCGTCGACTTCGATGATTCCGGCCTACCAGCCGGTTCTCTTCACCACCGGCCGCGTCGGCTCGGACGCGTACATCTCAATCGCCATCGACGAAGCCATCGACGTCTACCGCATCGAGGACACGCCCGGCCGGTTCACCAAACTCGAGACCCTGCATCTACCGGCAAAGGTCAACTCGATCACCGCCGTCGCACGCGGCATCGTCGTCGGTGCCTCGTCGGCCGACTCGGCCGCCTTTCACTTTTTCGCCTACCCCGACTTTGCACCCACCGTTCTGCACACCGGCGAGCCGAGTGACACTTGCGTCCGCGCCTTCTCCCGCCCGCGCGGCCTGCTCCTCTGCTATGACACTTGCGGCATTCTCCTCGACCGCACCGGTGCCGTCCGCCCCGAGTCGGTCTTCCGCTGGAAGGCCGCACCGCTCGGCTTCGCTGTTCTCGGCCCCTTCCTCATTGTCTACTACTCGACCTTTGCCGCCATTCTCTCAGCCGTTTCAGGCGCCGCCGTCGAGTCGCACCTTCTCACCATCCGCCATCCGTTTACCAACGCTTCGGACGCTGTCGGCGTGTTTGCCCCGTGTGGAACGAGGATGACGACACGACGGACATCCACGAGCTCTGCCCGCTCGCCGATGGCCCATCCACGACCGACCTCGCCGACATGGCTGCCTGCGACGGCGGCTACGAGGCCTACGGCTCCATCCTCTCCGTCTCGCGCCACACCGCACACCGCGCCCACATGTCGTCGCTCTCGTCGTCAACCACTCTCGTCGCCGCCGTCAACCCGGATCCGGACAACATGTAGCCACAACCGCGTGCTGCTGCTACGACAGCCGTGCCTTCTTGGCCATCGCCGCTAGCAACTGCGACATGTCCGCAAACGTCCGCACTGCCTTGACCACCTCGGCGTTGGTTGGCTCGTCGTGCCCGCCGCTGTAGAGATATGACTTTCCGTGCGGCGCCGCCGCCGCCAGCTCCTCGGCCGACGACGGAGGAACAAGCAAGTCGTCCTCGCCGTGGATAAAGATAGCCGGAACCGAGAGGTCCGTCACATACGCCAGCGGTTCGACATCAAACATTGAGACGCCGTCCCAGAGCATCGGCAGCGCGAGGACAGCGTCGACCGCAGCCAGCAGCGCATCTGGGACAGGAACCCCGAACCGCGACCCAAGGTTGCGCGGCACGTCGGCGAGCCGCGCAAAGGCCCCGTCGGTGATGAGCGAGAGCACATGCCCGTCGCGCGGCGTCCGGCCGAGTGCAATGGCCCCGGCCGCCCCGCCCATCGAGCACCCGTAGACCACCACGGCCGCGTCCGGATGCGCCCACGCCAGCCAGTCGAGCGCCAGATCGACAACGTCGGCTTCACGCAGGCCCACCGTGGTCAGCCCAAAGCCTGCCGCGCCATGACCCGGAAAGTCAAAGACCAGCAGCGAGTAGTTGCCCGCCACGCCGCTCAGAGCAGGCAGCGTCCACTCCTTCGACCGCGACCGCCCGTGCAGCGCGAGGACGACCGTCGGCCCGCCCGGGACCCACCACCCGTGCGTCACCGGTGCCCGCCGCCCACCGTCAGACAGCGCGCCCGCCGGCATGTCCGCAGCATCCAGCACCACCGGCGCGTACTCGGCGCCCCACAGCGAGGCCGGCGTGTGGCGGGCCGGCGCCAGGAGGACCTTGCCCGGGTTGGGCATACACAGCGCCAGCGCCAGCAACACCACAACCACCACAGGTGCACATGCTGCGCAAGCCAGACTCTTCCAGACCAACCCCATGGTGAAGACGAAGGGAGAAAAGTAGCTGTCTGGATGAGGATGGGCGAGGGGGCCAGGGTAGGGGGGCTCGAGGCCTCGATCACCAGCCACAGCAGGAAAAGGTCGTCAAAGTCCATGCCTCGCGCAAGTGTGATCACCACCACCACCACCGCCACCGCCACCACCACCACCACCGCCACCGCCGCCACCACCACTCCCACACCCTCCTCCACCGCACCCCCACTCCATGCGGTCACTACTCCGGTCGGTGGTGGCCGAGAGCCGGGCGGCGGGGCTGAGCCGGGCTGAACTCGGCCTCGACGGCTACTACGCGGTCTCGGTGGCGGTGCTGGGCGGATATGCGACCGAAGGCGTGGCCGGGGTGGCCGGCGATGTGGCGCAGGGTCTGGTCGAGACCCTTGTCGTGCTGGGCGTCGATGATGCCACAGAAACCTACGTCCGTGGATGCATGTCGTCGCGGCTGGGCTACGCCGTCAAGGACATTGCCCACTCGGTCCTCACATGCTGCATGTCGGCGACCAACGCGTCGGCCTTGCTTGGCAAGTGCGACATGTGGGTCTTCTCTGCATCGCAGATGGCTCGCCTGCTTGCCGCTGCAGAAGCCAACGCCGCCGCGCGCCCGCACGGCTCCCTGCCTGCCCTCGCCCACCGCCCGATCCGCAAGCAAGCGCTCGGCTGGGACCATCTCGCCACCCTCCCGCGCCCAGCCTTTGACGACGACGCCGCCGGGGGGCCGTCGGCCGCCGCCGGCTTTCATGCCGGGACTCTGCTCGACGTCGGCGCAGGGACCGGATCGGTCACCGAGCAGCTGGCTCCGTTTGTCGACACGGTCGTGGCTACCGAGACGGCCATTGTCAATGTGTGGTGCCTGCGCTCGCGCGGCTTTGCCGCCGTCACCTCGGGCGTCCTTGAGGAGGCCGGTCTTGCCGAGGCGCTCGTGTCGGCCGGCGCCGCCGCCCCGCGGCGAGGTGAGCCACTGCACTTTGACGTTGTCTCGTGCTTCAACGTCCTCGATCGTTGCGACACACCGCAGACGCTGCTCGACGACATGGTCGCGCTGGTCGAGCCCGAGAGCGGGCGGCTCATCCTCTCCATCGTCCTCCCGTACCACCCGTCGGTCGAGGTTGGCTCGCGCTGGGAGCGCCCATCACAGTTTGTGCAGGCGCCTCTGGGCGATGACGCACCGTTCGAGGCCTGGGTTGTCTGGTTCACCGCCACCTTTCTCCATCCCGCGGGCCTCCGCGTCCTCTCCTGGTCGCGCGTCCCCTACATCTCGCCGGGAAACACCCGCCACGCCTTTTTTGTCCTCTACAACGCGCTCTTTGTTTGCGAGCGGATTTAGCTGCACATCAGCCTACTCGCCGCTCGCCACGGTACTGAGGGCCTCCTCCAGCGACGCCACCACGCTTGCCTTGCTCCGCTTGGAGCCTGTAATGGTCACGCCGCCACGGCGGCAAAACTCACGCAGCTTGCCGATCGGCAAGCGGGCAAGGAGCTCGGCATTGGCTAGCGCGCCTGCCATCGCCTTTTTGCTCCGCCGGTCGACGTCGCCTGCCGGGAGCTCGCACGCCGCCACCATCTCGCGGAGGAGCTTGGCGATGATCTTACCGGCGAGCGGCGGCTGCGCAGAGCATGCTGCCACCCGCGTGCGGAGCTCGTCTAGACTCCCACGCGTGTCCTCACCCCACGCCGTCAGCTTCTCGACGCAGGCTTCGTGTGAGAGGCCGTCCTTGACGGTGCTTCCGGCGCTGTCGCTGGCACTGGCGCGAGCGTCGCCACCGGCGCGCCTCACCAGCCGCGCCACCTCGTCGTCGATGGTCTGCGGCAGGGTGTGTCCAATGAGCGCCGCCTTGGCAACGTCGGCCAGCGAGCGTGCGGCTGCATTCTTTCTCGTTCCTGCGCCCAGCGCGTCGCACGCTCGGCGGAGCTGGTCCTTGGTCCACGACACCTCGGCACCGGTCGGCGCCGCGCCTTTGCTGCACGGCAGGATAGCAAACAGCCGCCCCGCCCGTTGGGCTTTGGAGCCTGAGCTCGGTATGCCCATGGCCTTGAGCAGCGTGGCGAGTGTCTCTGAGCTCACCGCCAGCGGAGCCGGCGCATCGTCGTCGCCGCTGCTCGAGCTTCCAGCCTGGGATCCGCTGTCGTCGGCCTCCAGCAGCGCAGTCTCACGCGCCACAGTCTCGGCGTCGGTGTACGACATCATCAGCTTCTGGACCTGTGCCACCAAATCGGCCTTGCGCGCCGATGCCGGAAACACGCTCGCACCCGCGCTCTCCAGCACAGCCGTCAGATCCTCGACCTTCATCCGGCGCCCGGCGCCGGCCACCACGTGCAGCCGAGCAGCAAGCTCGCTCTTTCGCCCGCTGCAGCTAGCGTCGGCCTTTTCGAGCGCGCGCTTCAGAAGGCGGCACGAGACCCGCCCGCCAACGCTGCTGCTTCGCCCCTCGTCCGAGCCGGACCGCTGCGAGCGCGCCTCCTCCAGATCGACCTGGGTAAATTGCGCCAGGTAGTCGACGAGGCTGTGGACGAGGGCGGCTTTGCTCCGGGCGTCCTTTGCAGTAATGGCGTGCGCCTTGCAGAATGCCCTCAACTGCGGTGCCGAGAGCTGGTCGGCCTCCAAGGCCAGTCGCTCAGCCAGCTCCGACTTGCGGCCGGACGTGGAGAGCCCGAGCTCTGCGAGCGCCGCCTTGAGCTCGGCACTGGTGGCCTTGGTCGGCCCGCTCTCGACTCCATCCGCCGCTGCTGCCGCCTCGGCCTTGGCCTTGAAGGCGTCAACGTCAACGCCGCACGTAGCGCCGATCACCTCGACCACCGCCACCGGGCTCGGGGCGGCCACTAGCGCTTCCAAGCTGGCAAAGACTTCCGAGTCGACCGCCTCGGCCAGCCGCAGCGCTCGCGCAGCCTTGGATCCCGACGTCCGCTCGCCGAGCGCAGCGAGACCAGTCTTGAGCTGCTTGGAGGTAAAAGTGGCCTCGAGGACGCCTGCAACCGGAGCGCCGGAGACCTGCGCAGCGTGGGCGGCGTCGTCGGCCTCGGTCGCGTGGCCGGCCTCGCCGACGAGGTAGCCCTCCAGAAAACGAACCAGGCGTTCGGTGAGTTGGGCCACCTTGCCCGTAGCGATGATGCCATGGTCGGCAGCGAGGCTCTTGAGCTGGCTCTTCTTAAGCTTGGGTAGGAGGTCGATGAGGGCCTCGGCCAGCTTGGCCTTGTTGTGTGAGCTTTTCCACGAGCCGCCGGCGAGCTCGATGGCTTCGCGGAGCTCGACCACGGTGATGCCTCGCATTGCTGGCCCGTCGTCGTCGACATCGTTGGCCTCAATGGTGGTGCCGTCGCCGCCGCTGGAAGTCGCCGCCGCCGCAAAGGCGGTGCGCGTGGCGGCGGCGGCGGCGTGAAACTCAGCTTGCTCGTCCGGTGGGAGCTCGGCCCACTCGTCGACAAGCGCAGTCTGGATGTCGACAAACGGTGCGTCGTTGGCAAGCGTGGTCTTGATCCGCGCCCACTCGGAGCGACAAAATAGCTCAAAGGCCGAGACCGGCGCTCCGATGGCTTGCGCCGGTGCAGCGGCTATGTTGTCGGCAGAGGCTCCGGCAGTCGCAAAGGTGTATGGATTGATCTTGACGGCGTTGCGCTTGCGTCCAGAGCTGCGGCTCCGCTCGCGGGCCTTGTCCCTCGCCTGCCTGAGCTTGCGCTCACGGTACGCGTCCTCCCGGCGGCGTTGGCGCTCGCCCATGGCGAGCAGGGCACGGACGCAGTCGTCGAGGTTCTGCACAAAGCTGGAGGCACCCGGAATGTCGGCCCGCGACGTCGGGCAGTAGCCGAGGAGGAACTGAAGGGCAGGTGTGCCGTAAAAGCCGTTGATCGAGCCGTACGCGGTCGCCACCATGTCGGGAGTGAGGCCTACGCGGAGCCTTGCCGGGCGGATGAGCTGCTCAAACTTGTCCTTTTTGAACCCGTTTGCCTTGGCCTGCAGCATGATGATGTTCGAGGTGGACGAGCCCGGCACGTCGCGGGTCCGCCCGCCGCGCACGTAGGGGAACAGGTGATCGTACGCCTTGGCAGTAGCAGCACCCGGCAGCGCAAACGGTGAGACGACATTGCCCCAGGGATCGACGCGGAAGATCATGTTGAGCTCGCGGTCGTGGACACCAAACTGCTCCATCCGCGAGCACGCCTGCCACGCACGCAGCATCTCGTACTGCGGGCGGAACGCAGTGTGCCCGGCCGGATCCAGCCCATCGTTGCCGAGCTTGGGATACTTTGCCGCCAGAAAGCGGCAACCCATGCGATGTGGCACTCGGCGTCAAAGTCCTCGAGCCCAGTCCACGGCAGCTCGCCATGCTCCGGCAACGCCGCCCTCATCTCGGCCGTGAGCGTGGCAAACGTGCGCCTCGCCACCGTCAGCCCGATGGGCTTGCCGTCGGACGACGCCGTCTTGAGCCATAGATTCGGCAGATTGTTCCTTGAGAAGAACATGGGAAAGTTGTGTAGAGGCTCCTCGGCCACCCAATCACACACGTCGACGTCAAAGACCGGCACCTCGCCCTCGCTTCCATCGGCCATGGCTTGCGTCTGCACCGCCCACGACCACCGCCCCACCACCCCGGCCATCGCCCCACCCCGACCACCGCCCCGCACCCATGCCCAACACGAGTGAGACCACACCATCCCCTCCTTCCACCACACCCCCACACACATCACACACCACAACTTACCCCTACCCGTACCCGTATGTGTGGCGTACTCGCCGTGGTCAACCTCACCCCCCACACCCCACTTGCGACAGGTGCCAAGGAAGAAGAGGGACACACACAGCGGACCGACTCGCCCAGACACCAAGCACACACACACACACACACACACACACACACACACACACACACACACACACACACACACACACACGCACGCACACGGCTCTCCTCCCTCCCTCCAATGGCTGCTACCAGTCCTCCTGCTCACGCTCTACTGGTGCTGTTTGATCTCAATGGGACGCTCGTCCACCGCACGTCCAAGACCTCGCGGGAGGTAGGCGAGCGGTACAGTCCGGCTGGCAAGGACTCGGGCAAGCGGCATGTGTATGTCCGCCCAGGTGGGGCTGATGTTCTTGCTGCTCTGGCTGCTCATCCGCGGGTTGCTGTGGGCATCTACACCTCTACCTTTCTTCGGAATGCTGCTCGGATGACTCTGGCCGTCGCAAGATCTGCCCAACTTGCTCCTGGTGCGCGCCTGTCGGAGATCGAGGCTACTGCTCCCGACTGGATCGCTGCTCCAAGGGCAGACTCCCGCCCGCTACTCCTTCATCCGCTCACTGCTGCGTCTGCTATCAATGAGCTCGGTAGCGCGAGTGGTACCGCTGCCGATGCTGCAGACGCCGCAGATGCTGCCGATCGCTGCGAGGACGGGCCGAAGCCTGGCGAGCTGTACATCGACTACGTCCTCCACCGCGATCATAACAAGCCCGACCCGACGGGTGCCAAGTCGCATGACACCATCCGGGACCTGGGCGCAGTGTGGGGCGAAGAGGACGGGCCGGGCGCAGCTGGTTTTGGCCCGCACAACACCATTGTTGTCGACAACGAGTTCCGCAAAGTCCGTGAAGTCCCGCACAATGCGCTCGTTGTCCCCACCTTTGACGCTCAAAGCATGACCGGTGACAGTGTTGAGGGATATGCCGTCATAGACGCCGTCTACCGCTACATTCTTGATGTTTTGCTGCCGGCCTTTGATGCCGACGCCAGCCAAGCCGACGACGCCGACGTCAGCCAGGCCGACGCCCCGCCACCCGACGTCCGCACCGTCCTCGCCACCGCACCCTTTGCTGCTACCGCAGACACAATCTCGCTCCCGCCGCTTCCGCCAACGCCAGTCCGGACCCGCAAGCCACGCACCCCCAAGAGCCAGCGGCAGAAGGGAAAGGGAAAAGGAAAGGGGAAGGGCAGGCCGTCGCCATCGCCATCGCCATCGCCATCGCCATCGCCATCGCACAACTCCCACAACTCGCCTTTGCAGCACTCTTCGAGCCCTGACAAGCGCCGCAACCGTCGCAAATGTGCCAGCCCGGGCCAAAAGCCCAGGCCAAGCCCGTAGTGCTTCTCCCCATGGTGTTCACTTGCTCGCCAGCCGCTCCTTGCGGGCCCGACGGTACTCGTCGAGCTCGCGTGCCTTGCGAATTGCGCGATCGCCCGAGACTGCTACTGACCCGCGACGGTTCTTGGACCGAGCTGCGGCGCGCCGCCCGGGGACCGCCGCCTCGGTGCTCGCCATGGCGTCGCGGACCTTGCGCCGGCGGGCCTTGCGCGCCGCGCGCTTCTGGGCCTCGGCCGCCGCCGCTGCGTTGTCGGCCGCCGCAGACTTGAGCGAGACGATAAAGACTCGCGCAGCGTCAAGAAACTCGGGCAGCTCCATTTTGCTCGGATCCTCGCCAAAGAACTTGGCAGTTTCCTCCCACTGTGCCTCGAGTGCTGCGACGCCAGTATCAAGGTCGGCGAGCGCGGTGCTGACCGCCTCGAGAAACGGCGCAAAGCGAAGTGCAAAGGTCGAGTCTTCGCCGCGGACCTTGGCCTCGGCCGCCACCTGCTGCGTTGCGGCCTTGAGGTTGCCGAGTCCGGAGCGGATGTGGCCGAGCGTCATGCCGGCTGCAGCAGCAAGCGCAGTGCCGACGGTGTCGTCGAGTGCGCTCAGCGCGCTTGGCTCGGACGCTTCCAGCGCAGCAACGAGAAAGTGGACGACCGAACGCGACGAGTCGGTCGTGGCCTTGGTCGAGCTCAGCTTGGCGCAGATGGAGAACCGGAAGCCTTGTGCTCGCCCGCGAGCCGTGCCCTCGTTCAGCACATTGCCAAAGACGAGGACCCGCTGCAGGACGCTCCGCAGTTCAGCCGAGTCGCGGAGCGCTGCCAGCGCTCCAGAGAGCTTGCTCATCCCCGCACTCACCGCCGCCTCGCCCTCGGGGTACGAGAGCATAAACGCGTGGGCCGAGACCGCCTCGCGGGCGCGTGGAATGCTCGCAAGAGCTACCGCCAGCGCATCGCCGGGCGTGAGCAGCTCGTGGTCGCCAGCGTAGCCACGCAGGATCGGCAGCTCCTCCTCGGTCGGAAGTAGTGTCTTGAGCAACGTTTCAGTGACTTGTGGCGTGAGGACAGCGACGTCGAGCTCAGCCACGGCTGCAACGAGCTCGTCGGCCGAGTGGGGCATCTTGGCCATACAGATCTCGACGTTGGTCGCACGCTGAGACTGCAGCAGCGACGGCCGCTTGGATGCGGCGGGGGCAGTGGCACTGTCCGCGACGGCTGCGGCTTTGCCTGACGCGGCGTTTGCGTCGCGTGCAAACGCGACTTCGAGTTCGGTCACATCAATGCCGAGCGCGTCCGTCTCGGCCGACCCGAGCTGCGCAAAGACGGTGCCAGCCGCTGTCCGCGGGTTGAGCTTGCGCCAGTAGAGCGACTTGAGAACGTGCTTGGAGTTGCGGACCGAGGCTCTGCCGGGTGGCGGCGGTGGCGGGGGGACGCCGCAGCCAGCCGATGGCGGTCCGGGGCCCGGTGGTGGCGGCGGCGGCGGAATGCCGGAGCCAGTCGGCGGTGGCGGTGGAGGTGGTGGCGGTGGCGGCGGCGCGCCACTCGGTGGAGCCGCTGTCGGCACAGGCGCAGCAGGTGGCGGCGCGGCGTCTGTCGCTTGCTCACCAGTTTTCGCCTCCGATGGCAGTGGTGGCGTGGGCGAGGGCGGCGAGACGGCCAGTGGGGGCGGCACCCGCGGCGTCAGATTCGGGGGCGGGGCTGCCGGCGCCGCCACAGCGGGGCGGGACGGAGCCGGCGCGGGTGGCTCGAGATCTGAGCCGGCGCAGACCGCGAGGAGGCGGCCGTAGAGGAGACTGATGGCGGATGACGACGGCGCGTCATGGTGGGCGGCGGCAAGGGCTCGGAGGAGGGCGGCAAGGTGGTCGCGGGCGGCGTGGCTCTCCGAGTAGACAGCGCAAATGTGCTTGGCGAGGGCGAGCGGGTCGGCCAGATCGACGCCGCGGATGGCGGCGGCGGCGGCGTCGGCATCGGCCGAGGCACGAAAGCGGGCGATCTGGGCGGAGAGAAGGGCCGGGTCGATGGAGAGCGCAGCAGCGGCGGCGGGCGAGCGGGCGTCGAGAGCAGCTTCCATGGCCGCAATGACGCTATCAAAGTCGAGGTCGAGGAAGACGGCACGATAGGCAGTGCGTGGCGCGAGATCGGGAATGCCATCGAGGAGGGTGTTGATGAGAGTGAGCGCCATGACCTGGACCAGGTAGTGCGAGCGGAGCGAGTCGAGTGGGGCGTCTGGATCCGGGTGCAGCGTCTGCGTCAGTCGCATGGCTGCCGAGTCATGGAGCTGCGACTCAAAGTAGGCGAGCGCCGATCGTGCGGCGGCGTGCCCGGCCGGTCCGGCGTCGGCCACCCAGCACATGAGCTGCAGGATTTTGCCCTGCAAGTCAAGGTCGGGAGAGACAAAAGCAGACATGACCTCCCAGAGGCCGGTGCCCTCGGGCCCAATGATAGCGGTGAGCGCGGCCTCGTCAGGATCGACGTCGATGAGCGCCAGCAGAGCTTCGACGACCACAACCTCCGAGTCTTCCACCTCGTACAGTCGATAGAGCTCGTCTTCAGGAAGCGTGAGCGCGGCTTTGGCCCGCCGCAGCGAGCGAGCACTGGTGCTCATGTCGCGGAGGAGGTCGAGAAGGAGCGCGGTGCCGCATAGATCGATAAAGGCGGCGATGGCCGGGCGTGCTTCGGCCAGCGGCAGGTCGCGGAGCTCGAGGATCCAGTCCAGCAGTCGGCCGAGGGACGCCGCGTCTGGCGCCGAGCGCAGCTGCGCAAGCAGGTACGGCAGCTGATCGTCGAGTGCATGCTTGCCGGCGACCCGATGGGTGTCGTCGACCTCGAGCGTGATCTGCGGCAGGGCGTCGCCGAGGAGCTCGCCGAGATCCAGCACCTCGATGTCTGACGGCGAGCCGACAAGCGCCATGTCGACCGACGCCGCCCGGCCGGCCAGTGCCAGCGGGCGCGGCGGTGTCACGTCGCAGTCGAGCGCGCTTTCCAAGCCGGGCGCCGCCATCAGCTCGTTCGGCGGAGTGTTCGGCGCTGAGACCGACTTGCGCTCGACCCAAGTCGGTCCATTCAGTGAGTCTGTGGCATCACCCGCATCGGTCGCGCCTGCGCGAGAAGTGGCCGACGTCGGCGGGAGCGTCAGCTTGTCCTTGGCGCCTGCAGTGTAGGCTGAGCCGTCCATGGCATGGATGATAGAGGCCGAGAGCGATGAGAGCGGCTGGGCCCAGCGAAGGTTGATAACGTGTGAGTTGATGGCGGCGCCGTTGAGCTCGTTGAGCGCCTGCAGCGCAATGGGCCGAGTGGGGAAGATGACCTCGGCCAGCGAGTCCCGGACCGTCAGCACGTGCTCGCCGTAGAGCGCGAGGACGTCCGCCAGCTCGCCGCACCACTCCTCAAAGTGCAGCCCATACACTAGCAGTGTCCGGTCCGTTGCCATCCCTCTTCCGGGACAGGGCCGGGTGCGGCCGCAGGGAGAAGGGGGGTGGAGTGGCCGGTGTGTCTGGTCGGAACCGTGTCGCTTGGCAGAGCAGAGGAGAGCTGCTCAGAGACCATCTTCTCGGGCCATCGGTGGTATGGCCCGGCTCGAGCTCTGATAAATCCCTGCTCACTTTCTCTGGCCATATGCACTTAAGCGCGCCCCCCTCACCTTTCCGCCCCCCCCCCCCCCCCGTCCTATCGTACCTGCACCTATCATCTCATCCGCTCTCGAGACCGGTCTCACATCTGATCCGACTATCTATGCACTAGCTGTTGCGCTGGCAGAGTGCATCTTCTGAGATCGTGGCATGGGGAGTCACGGGGTGGAGATACGACACCAGATGGGCCACTTGATCCCATCATCAATCGACATGAGCATGTGTGCGAGGGTGTGGGTGCGTGGTGTGTGTGGGTTTGTTCTTGCTGGCTTGTTGGGTGTGTGTAACTCTGTTTGGGCTTTAAAAAAGTGATCTGTGATTTGTCCCTGTTTTTCATCCTTGCTGTGCAAGAACCAAGCCATAGCATCACAGTATTCCTCATCTGCAACAACCAAGCAGCCGCATCTCTTTACTCTCCCGCCCCTCCCCGTCGATCGATACCTCCCCCCCTCTCCCCCTCCCCCTCCCCCTCATGAACCACTCTCTGTACCGGACTCGAGCGAACGTTCTGTCGTTCGACAAATAGTCGAACGTTCGCCCGATTCGACGACTTTTGCCTCTAAAGCGACAACAAGGCCAAGCCGAGCCACTCTGACGCTAACACGCACACGTACGCACACACGTACACTCAACACCAATATCACAAATGGCCGACAACGGGTAGGCACCCCTCCATCCCTCCCTCCCTCCCTCCCTCCCTTTATTCCTCCCTTCATTCCTCCCTCCCCCCTCCCCTCCCCACTCCCTCTCTCTCACACACATTCTTCGTCCATCCCACCTCGTTCTCCACCTCGGCAACACAGTGGCAAGGGCGGGAAGAAGAAGAAGGGCGGCGCCAAGGGCAAGGCAGTGAAGCCGCTGGCGGAGACTCCGGCATACGTGGACAAGCGGATTGAGCTGTTTGAGGCAGCCAAGGCACGGCAGGACGAGTGGCGGGCTGGCCTGCCCGACGTGGAGATCGAGGTCAAGATGCCCGACGGTGCCGTCTTTAGCAAGTTCCCTGTTCTCTGCCACAAGACCACGCCGATGGAGATTGTCAAGGCCATCTCATCGAGCCTGGCCAAGCAAGTGGTGGTGGCGTCGGCCGACGGTGCGCCGTGGGACCTGCACCGCCCGCTGGAGGGCCCGGTCGAGTGCCTCAAGTTCCACAAGTTTGACTCGGAGGAGGGCAAGCACGCGTTCTGGCACTCGTCGGCGCACGTGCTCGGGCAGGCGCTTGAGATGATCTTTGGCGGCGCGCTGGGCATCGGACCTGCGCTTGAGCAGGGCTTTTACTATGACATGGCGCTCGGAGCCGACGGCGACGTCGGAGCCGAGGCCGAGGCCGACGGCGCATCCAGCAGCGAGCCGGAGCTCAAGGTGGCAGCCAAGACTGTGGCCGACGCCGACTTTCCGGTCATCGAGGCCAAGGTCAAGGCCATCACCAAGGCGAACCAGCCGTTTGAGCGTGTGCGGATGGAGAAGGACGAGGCCGTGGCCATGTTTGGCTACAACAAGTACAAGCAGGAGATCATCAACCAGGACATTCCGGAGGGTGCCCCCATCACCGTCTACCGCTGCGGTCCGCTTGTCGACCTCTGCCGCGGCCCGCACCTCCCGTCTACCGGTCTCATCAAGGCCTTTGCCCTCACCCTCACCTCGTCGGCGTACTGGAAGGGCAAGGCCGAGAACGACCGTATGTCGCGGGTCTACGGCATCTCCTTCCCCAAGGCCAAACAGCTGAAGGAGCACCTCGCTCTGGTGGAAAAGGCCAAGAAGAACGACCACCGGCGGCTCGGCCTCGACCAGCAGCTGTTCTTCTTTGACCAGCTCTCGCCGGGCTCGTGCTTCTTTGAGCCGTACGGCGCGCGCATGTACAACGCGCTCGTCGACTTTATCAAGGAGCAGTACTGGAAGCGTGGGTACGAGGAGGTCATCACCCCCAACGTGTACAACCACAAGCTGTGGCAGACCTCGGGCCACTGGCAGAACTACGCCGAGAACATGTTCCAGTTTGAGTGCGAGCACGACATCTATGCGCTCAAGCCCATGAACTGCCCAGGCCACTGCCTCGTGTTCAAGCACCGGACCCGCTCGTGGCGCGACCTCCCGCTCCGCCTCGCCGACTTTGGCGTCCTCCACCGCAACGAGCTCTCCGGCGCACTTTCGGGCCTCACCCGCGTCCGCCGGTTCCAGCAGGACGACGCCCACATCTTCTGCATGTCGTCGCAGGTCCAGGACGAGGTCGCTGGCGTTCTCGACATGCTCCGCGAGGTCTACGGCGTCTTTGGCTTCACCTTTGAGCTCCGCCTCTCCACCCGCCCCGAGAAGTTCATGGGCGAGATCGCCGATTGGGACGTGGCCGAGGCCCAGCTCCGCGAGGCGCTCGACCGCTTCGGCGAGCCGTGGACCATCAACGAGGGCGACGGCGCGTTCTACGGGCCCAAGATCGACATCACCGTCATGGACGCCCTCCGCCGCAAGCATCAGTGTGCCACCTGCCAGCTTGACTTCCAGCTGCCCAAGAACTTTGACCTCGAGTTTTCGAGCGAGAACGGCCATGAGCGCCCGGTCATGATCCACCGCGCCATCCTCGGCTCAGTCGAGCGCATGATCGCCATCCTCACCGAGTCGTATGGCGGCCTTTGGCCGTTCTGGCTCGCCCCTCGTCAGGTCGCCATCGTCCCCATCGCCGCAGAGTACAACGACTATGCCGAGTCCGTCCGTGCCCGCCTCCACGCCGAGCACTTCCACGTCGAGGTCGACACCTCCACCAAGACCCTCAACCAGAAGGTTGCCATTGCCGACGTCGCCCACGTCAACTACATCCTCATCGTCGGCGGCCAGGAGGCCGAGAACGGCACCGTCAACCTCCGCGCCCGTGGCGAGGTCGAAGGCGAGGGCAAGAAGCGCCGCATCAAGCGCCGCGAGGTCTCCGTCGACGACCTCATCACCGAGCTCGTTGCCCTTCGCGCCGCCCGCTCCGACGATCTTGCTGCCCTTCGCGAGTAAGCACGGTTTTTGGCTAAAGAATCACTTTATCGCGCATTCGCGGTGGAGCTTCATGTGCTTCGCTACATGACGACGGCCAGGCATAGGACAGAGAGGTAGTGACCTTGGAGCTCAGCTCCACAAAGCGATGGCTTGTTCACATTGTCGGCGACAGCGCCGAGGTCGTCGAGCTCATCGTTGAGTCGGACGGCATCTGCTGTAGCGTCGACCCGACAGTCGTCTCGAGTTCGACCGAGATCGAGATCGATGACGGCTGGACGCCCGTGCTTGTCGAAGATGCCGACGAGCCCGAGGAGCTCGAGCTTGAGCTCGAGCCCGAGCCGGTGTTCGAGCTCGAGCTCGAGCCCGAGCCCGAGCTCGAGTTTGTACTGGACGAGGCGAGGCGCGGGAAGATGAGCGAGGTCGAGCACGACGAGTCCGAGACCATGTGTGGGTTATCCAGCTCGCCGCGTGACGAGACCCGCTCCAGCCGATCATGCTCTATCAGCTCATCGTCGGTCAGCTTGTTGTGCCTACCTGCCGTGCGTTTGACCAGTGGCTTTGCCTTCTTCCTCCCAAGGCCAAGGCTCAGCTTGCGCTTGCCCCTGCCCTTTGACTTGGACTTGCGCTTGCCTTCGCCCTTGCCCACTACAGCCGCATGAACCAAGTACGGCGACGACGTGCTTGCATCCCAATGGTCAGGTCCATGCGCTTGCTTGCGCTTGCCTTTGCCCTTGCTCTCGCCCTTGCTCTCGCCCTTGCCCTTGCCCTTGCTCTTGGCCATCGCAGCCGCAGTCCCAGCCGGCAACAACAACTACCTCGCTGCGGCCGCCTTGTCTACTCCACGCTCCTGCTCGAGCCGCGGGACAGATGTTTGCCCTCTCTAGCGGAAACGCCCTCTGTCTGCCGGTGTGGTTGGTTGCCGCCATTGGAGCAGGTGCGGATGTCACTTCCGCCCTCCCCTCCCGTTTTCACACTCGCAAAAAAAATTCCTCCCTCCCTCCCCCCCTCCCTCCCCCCACCTTCACTTGCACCGTGACAGTGACAGCCAAGGTGACACTGTCGTCTCTCATTCCCGCCGCTCGCTTCGCCAGCGCGCCCCCTCCCCTTCCGCCCTTCCCCCCCCCCCCCCCCCCCCCCTCCCCCCCACCCCCCAACACACCGCCCCCTACACCGCCCAACCATGGTCCGCATCCAGCGACGGCGGGTCCAACAAGAGGACATCATCTCGCGCCATACTCGGAGCCGAGCCAAGACTGAGTACCGCGCCCTCCGCGCCCGCCGCGCCGCCCGCCACAAACGCCGCCCGCACCGCCACCGCTACCCGACTCAGATGGTGGTCCGCGTCCCGTCTGGTCCGCCCGCACCACCTCCTCTCCCGCCGCCAGACTCAAAGTCGGTGCCAGATGCCGGCCGATCGGCGTCGATTGCTCATGCTGCAGCTGATGCACAGAACATCTATGACCGAGCGACGGCTCGCGAGAAGGCCGCTGCCGCCGCGGCCGAGTGGGACGACGGCAACGTCATGGCGCTCGGCGTCGACGACCTGTTCCAGAACGAGATCGCCGGCGAGCTCGAAACAGAGTCGACCGTGCCGTTCATCGTCGGGCGCGAGCAGCTGTATCGCTCAAAGTCACTCGGCCTCTTTACCACTGAGAATGTGGCCCGCCGGTACGCCATCTACCTCGTCGACCATCCAGTCTTTGACTACTTTATCCTCACCGTCATCCTCACCAATTGCATCTTTATCGCGCTCTCGCGTCCGACCGAGCCGGCGGACTCGTCATGGAACAGCTTCCTCCTTTCTTCAGAGATCTACTTCCAGGCCATCTTTGTCGCCGAACTCTTGCTCAAGATCTTTGCCATGGGCTTTGTCCTCCACCGCTCGGCCTACCTCCGCTCGCCGTGGAACGTCCTTGACTTTGTCGTTGTAGTTGCTGGCTCGCTAGTCTTCTTCCAATCGTCGGTCAACGTCTCGTCCATCCGCACCATCCGCATCCTGCGCCCGCTCCGCACCATCTCTTCGATCTCGGGCATGCGGGTCCTTGTCAACTCGCTTCTCTTCTCGCTACCCTCGCTCCTTGACGTCGCCATCCTCTATCTCTTTCTCTTCATCATCTACGGCATTCTTGGCGTCCAGCTCCTTGTCGGCAAGTTCCACCAGCGCTGCTACTTCCAGGCGCCTGACGGTAGCCTTGTTCTTGACATCAACCGCGACCGGCTGTGCGGCGTGCCTGACGCGAATGGGTACATGTGTGCGCCGGGCCAGGTGTGTCTGGCGGCGGCTGCAAACCCTAACTTTGGCTTTACCTCGTTTGACCACATCCCGCATGCTTTTCTCGTCCTCTTCAACGCTATCTCGTTTGACGGCTGGTCCTCAGTCATGTACCGCGCCCAGGACGTGTACTCGCCTTGGATCTGGATCTACTTTGTTACCTACACCGCCATCGCCACCTTCATCATCCTCAACCTCGTCCTCGCCATCCTCACCGCCGCCTTTTCCCTCTTCTCCGAGGCCGAGCGCGAGGATGCCGCTGTTGCCGCCGCAGAGGCCGAGACCGCCCAGGCCGAGGCCCTTGGCAAGTCTGTCTCTGTCCGCACCACCACTCGCTCGCGCGCCAAGTCGGTATCCGCTGCTGTTGGTGTTCCGCCGCCCACGCCCACCATCCACGTCAACCCACCGCTCGCAACCTCGAACCCGGCATTCGACCCGACTGCCGTCCACCCGGCACCCGCGAGCTCCGCGAGTTTCAGGAATCAATCTCGTCAACCTCGTCCTCGTCCTCCTCGTCCTCCTCGTCCTCCTCGTCCTCGTCTTCTCGTCCTCGTCTTCTCTTCCTTCCCCGACTGCATCGACATCATCGCTCGCCTCGTCTTCATCTCTGCCCGACCAGAAGGCTGACCCAGCACGCGAACTGTTCTCCTACACCTACGAGTACTCGACTGGCTCGAACCCGTCTGACAGTGAGCCAAAGGATAACCAGGGCTCTGAGCCGTCTGCGCCTCGGCCAGCAGCGAGCCCCATTCTCTCGGCCACTTCGCGGCTAATCCAGTTGCATCCGGCTCGCCACTCGGTCGGAACCGTGGCCGACTCGGAATACTCGTCGTCGTCCAGACTCTCGGCATCGTCGTCGATGGTCTCGACGGTAGCATCGACGCCACCCGCCTCTCCACGCCCGCCGCCTCTCACCGTGCCCATCACTTTCCCCCCTGCACCATCTCCGGACATCATCCCGATCCCAACACCTTCTCCGGCGCCAGCATCGTCGCCGGCCCATCACCACGACGACGCATCTGCGCCGCTTGTGGCTCCGCGACGCTCCCCGCCCAACGCTTACGTGCCTGCCGTCCATGCACTCACCCACCATCCGCAGTTTGAGCGGGCCATGGCAGTCCCGATTGTACTCAATGCCATCCTCCTTGCTACCGAGCACTACCAGCAGCCGCGACTGCTAGAGCACGCCCAGTTTTACGGCAATATTATGTTTACTGTCTGGTTTGCCATCGAGCTTGTCGGGCGGCTCGCTGGCTCGACGCTCAGGGCTTTTGTCTCGGACAGCTACAACGTGTTTGACGTCGCCGTCGTCATGGTCTCGCTCATCGAGTTTGGCGTCCCTCTCCCGTTCTCGGTCACAGTCCTCCGCTGCTTCCGTCTTCTTCGCGTCTTTCGCCTCGTTCGAGTCTGGGGCTCACTGGCAAGGGTCCTTAAGACTGTCACGGCCTCGCTCTCCTCAGTCGCCTACCTCTCGTGCCTCCTTGTCATCGTCATCTTTATGTATGCCACGCTTGGCATGCAGCTGTACGGCTCCAAGCTCGACTTTCCGTCCGGCACCCCGCGATCCAACTACGACACGACCTTTTGGGCTTTTGTCACCACTTTTCAGGTCATCACCGGCGACTCATGGACCGACGTGCTCTTCACCAGCATGCGCGTCCGCCCGTGGCTCTCGGTCCTTTACTATGGCTCACTCATCGTGCTCGGCAACTATGTCCTTCTCAACCTCTTCATCGTCATCCTCCTCGACCGTTTCTCGCAAGAGGTCGAGGCCGAGGCCGAGGCCGAGGCCGCTGTCCTCAAGAAGCAGGGCGCCGCCCACTCGTCGCTCCACCAGCGCGTCCGTCACTGGAAAGAAATCGAGGAGCGCAAGTGGCGCATCATGATTGGCCACTCGCTCCGCCTGTTCTCTCCGGTCTCGCCCACCCGCCAGGCCTGCTGCCGGCTCGTCAACCACCCGTTCTTCGAGCCGACCATTATGGCGCTCATCCTCCTCAACTGCATTTTTCTTGCCCTTGACGGCCCATCTGTCGACCGCACCTCGTCGCTCGGCGTCACCATTTACTGGGCCAATCTCGTCTTTCTTGTCGCCTTTACCTTTGAGGCCATTGCCAAGATCGTCACTGTTGGCTTCATCTGGCCGTCGGACATTGCGTACATGCGCTCGGCGTGGAACGCCGTCGACCTTTTTGTCGTCGTCTCCTCGCTCCTAGCCCTTTTTCTCGCCGGCGAGTTCCGCCTCTTCCGCGCCCTCCGCGCCCTCCGCCCGCTCAAGCTCATTGTGCGATCTGAAAAGATCCGAGTTGTCGTCTACTCGCTCTACGCCTCGCTGCCCGCAGTTGCCAACGTTGCCGCCGTCTGCTTTGTCCTCTGGTCCGTCTTTGCCATTGTTGGCGTCCAGATCTTCTCGGGCTCGTTTTACCGGTGCAACGACACGGCAGTCTCTGTCATTTCGCAGTGCGTCGGCTCGTTTGTCGACACATCGGCCGGCTCGTCGGTCTACAACGCATCAATGGGCGCGTTTGTGGCACTCCCGCCGCCAGTAGTAGCGCGGCAATGGACCAACCCACCGTTCTCGTTTGACTCTTTCCCCGAAGCGCTCAAGTCGCTTATGGAAGTCGCCATGCTCGTCGGTTGGATCGACGTGGCACGCGCCGGCGTCGACGCCCGCGGCGTGGGCCTACAGCCAGTCCAGGACGCCAACCTCTGGGCCATCACTTACTTTGTCATCTTCATTGTTGTCGGCTCGTTCTTTGTCATCAATCTCTTCATTGGCGTCCTCATCGACAACTACACCCGCACCCGCCAGACTGCCGAGGGTGTGGTCTTTATGACCGCCGCTCAGCGCGAGTGGTCGCAGACTCGCCGCATTCTCTCCATCACCCAGCCCATCCCGGTGTACATCATCCCACAGTCGCCGCTCCGCGCCGGCGCGTACGTCATTGTCCTCCATCCGTGGTTTGATTTTTTCATCAACTCGGCCATTGTCGCCAACGGCGCCATCATGTGTCTGCAGCACTGGGGCCAGCCTCAAGCACTCACTGACGCGCTCTACCTCCTCAACGTTGCCTTTCTCGTTCTATTCGCCCTTGAGGCCGCGCTCAAAATCATCGCCTACGGCTTTCCGATGTACATGTCTGACGGTTGGGACCGGTTCGACCTCGCGCTAGTTGTTGTCTCCATCGCCGGCTTCTTCCTCGCGCCAGGCCTCGGCTCATCGGTAGTCCGCATTGTCCGCCTCGGCCGCCTCCTCCGGCTGGGCAAGCGCTCGAGGCGACTCAACGCTCTCTTTACCACCCTCCTCTACACGCTGCCAGTGATCTGGAATGTTGGCTCACTCCTCTTTGTCGTCTTTTTCATCTACGCTGTCCTCGGCGTCCAGCTCTTTGGGCGTGTGGTGCAGGGCGGCATGGGCCTCGAGCCGCACGCCAACTTTTCGTCGTTCCCGATGGCCATGCTCACACTCTACCGGCTCGTCACCGCCGACGTGTGGAACGTTGTCATGCGCGGCGCGTCGGTCCAGCCGCCGCACTGCTCGCGGGCGGCCGGCAACTGTGGCTCTGAGCTCGCCCCGCTCTTCTTTATCTCGTTTCTCGTCATCGGCGGCATGGTGCTGCTCAACCTTGCGCTCGCCATCATCCTCGAGAACTTTGACAACTCGGCCTTTGACCTCACGCCCGAGCACAAGGACTCGATCCGCCACTTTCGCGAAGTCTGGTCCAAGTACGACCCCACGGCGTCGAACCGTATCCTGGCATCGGAGTTTGTACGCCTCATGATGGACATTGGCGAGCCGCTCGGCTGGTCGCGCTATCTCTCGCGTCGGTACCAACTGCGTGCCGCGGCTGCGCTCCGCCTCCAGATCCGTGTCAACTCGGGCAAGAAGCGGTTTCTCGGCGTCCGCTTTGGCAACATCTGCCCGTTTCCGCCGTCGGTCGAGTTTAACCACGTCCTCAACTCGCTCGTCCGCTTCCGCATCGCTAGCGAGCGGTTGGCCAAAGCCCCGCACAGCAAGTCGTCGGCTGGCGGTCACGCCGCCACCACCCCGACCTTGCTCCCGCTCAACGACTCGGAGCTGGCGGTCGACGTCGGCGCAGCGCACGCCGCTGCAGACACCGGCGCCGGCGTCGGGCGTCGCGACATGGCGGCGCTGGCGGTCGACACCGGCGTGCGGCACACTTACTCAAAGGCGCATGCCCAGCACCCAGACCAGGTCTCTCGCACCGACGCGCTACTTTCGTCGCGGCGCGGCGTTGCCGAGCTCCACGCGGCGCACCGAACGAGGATCGCCGAGCTCCGGTCGTCAGCCGGGCCTGCAACGCCTCTTTCACCGCTAGGCGACGAGGCGATCTCGCTCGAATCGCTCAACGTCTACGCCGAGGCCCACGTACTGGACCCACGGGCACCACTGCCGCGGGCAGCGCGTGCGAACCGGCGGTCGTCGGTGGTGGCCTCGTTGGCGGCGCTGGTCTCGTCTGCGGCCACGCCGCACGCGCCGGCACCGGTCATTCTGCAGTCCAAGGGCCGCGACGGGCGAAATGCGGCCGGCGGCGCGTTTCTCGCCCTTCCCGTTCTCACCTCGCCGACGGGCGAGTCAGCCGACCAGGCCATGCCCGAGGTCAAGATGTCGATCATGCAGCGGCTGGAGCAGAAGGAGACCGAGGCCGGGCCGGGGACAAGCGGCGACGCCGAGGCCTCTGTCGCGGTTGCCATTGCCGAGGGTGACGACTCGATCGAGCGGGTGCTCGAGGGCGAGCTCGCCAATGTCATGCAGCGCCTCGAAGACAACGACGTGGTGTGGATGATGGAAGAGTACCTGGCAGTGGAGATCATTTCCAACTGGTGGACGCGCTACTCGGAAATTGCCCGCCAGCGCAAGGTCGTCAAGGGCTGGCTCGCCGCCGTCAATCCCGACCTCGACGTCCGCGCGCTCGAGACCCACTACGAGGCTGTCCGCCGTGAAAACGCGCTCTCCTACGAGGCTGTCACCGAGCGCATGGCCGAGCTCCGCCGCCGCATGGAGCGCAACACGGCGCTCCGTCACGCCATCGCCAACAACTTCCCCATGACCTCGTCCGACGACGACGAGCCCTTGCTCGCCGCCGGTGAGTCTGGAGAGCCCGTCGCTGGTATCGGCACCCACTCGGGCTCGACGTCGACTGTATCCTCGCTGTGAAAAGATGCGCAGGCTTACTGCTCAACGGCCGCGGCCTCGATGCCGGCCGCATCAGCAAGCGCCACGCCAGCCTTGATTGCCTCAAGCTCGGCCACGACCGAGGGATGCAGCGCCGGGGCTGGAGTCAGCGCCCACGCCGCCAACCAGGTGCCAAGCAGCGGGTACAGGACGAGCGGGCCGTACGAGCCGGACGCGCCGCGCTTGGCAAAGGTGGCCATGTAGCCGGCGACGGCGATGGCGATGACGCCGTAGTACTCCCACGGCATGCGCGGATCGAGGGCGCGCCAGTGAGCGGGATTAACGTCTGCCAGAAGGTCCCTGCCCGAGGGCCGGAGCGCGGCGTCGACAGCCACTAGTGGTGTCTTGTCGGCGCCGTCCTGGTGGAGGACGACGGTGGCGCCGAGCGGGAACGGTGGCTCGGGCACGTCGCCAACGCCTGCATCCGGCACCGAGGCCTCGGCCATGGCGTTGACATCCGACGACGGCGGAAAGGCGTAAAGTGAACGCGAGCCGTCGTCGAGGCGGAGGACCAGGTAGTTGACCACGAGATCGCGGCGGAGGACTTGGGCCCATAGAGGGCGGTCGACCGGCGGCGCGCCGAGGCTCGGTCCGTTCCACAGCGAGCCCTTGGACACGATCTCGCCGTATTTGTCGACCTCGTCGGGGTTTTTGCTCGCATCGGTAAACACGTTGTGGTGCTCAAGATAGTGCGGTCCGCAGAGGAGCGCAGCAGCAAGTGCCACACCCACCGCCACGTTCCGGGTCCCAGCATCTGGCGGTGGCGGCGGTGTCGTCGGATCCTGCGGGGGCTGCTTTGGTGGTGGCGGGCGGACAAACGACAGCGTCCGGGCCATCCATCGTCCGAGCGACGGAAGTTGAGGAGAGAGTCGAAGCATGGTTACACGTAGATGTGTGTGTGTGTGTGTGTGTGTGTGTGTGTGTGTGTGTATGCGTGTGTCTGTATGTGTGTGTGGGGATGGGGCTGGGACGTGAGCTGAGAGTGATGGGTGAGCACTCTTACCGGTCGTTCGACGCAATCGTTCGCTGCCTTCCATTGTTGCGGTTGTGGTCGGCAACTCGTCTCGGGCGCAGCGGCATGTCGTTTACACCGAGTGCGCCACCGGGGGCACCCCCGCCATACGCACCTATGCCACCGCAAGGGGGGTACCAGCCAGGCGGTCCACAGACGTTCACATCCCCACCTCCACCCATGTACATGTCCTCGGGCCCGCAGTACGGAGGCCCTACAGCACACAAGGGCCGCTACCGCCGCACCAACCAGTACGTTCCCCACCTCACGCTGCCCACGCGCCGCCATGCTTGGAACAGTCTTTTTATTGTCACCCATTGATTATCCCCCTTCTCGCTGGCCTTTTGTTGCGAAACGCACCAACCCCCGCGAGCACCTGCGCCCCTCCCTCCCTCCCCTCCGTCCCCTCCCTCCCTTCCATGCCCCCCCCCCCCCCCTTCCCCCCCTTCCCCTCCTCCCCTCCTCCCTTCCCCCTTCCCCTCCTCCCTCCCTTCACCATGGCGGCGGCAGGCGGGGGGCGTGGTTGTGTCAAGGGGGGGGGGTACGGTTACTAGCGCCATTCTGTGGTGGAAGCACTCACATCGCGCGTGTGTGTGTGCTGCGGGCTGGTCGGGCGTGGGCGGTGCGATCTGGTCGGGCGTGTGTGTACAGAGGCTCGTGCAGGGTTGCGGGATGCCATTGCACCAGCTTTAACCGCCAGGGTCGGACACGGGTGTATCGATCGACTCGATGTGGGAACTGTAGCCACAAGGCGCATCGGCATCGGCAGGTATGGACCTCGGACGACACGTACTGGGACGACGGGTGCTGCTCTGGTTGCTACTGCTATGTCAGTTCCGACAACGGTGGCAGCAACAACAACAACAATGGCGACGGCGACGGATGCTGCAATGGATGTTGTGACGACTGCGCGCTCTGCGCAGACAACTCGGACTGTTGCCTCTGCCTTGCGCTCAACTGCCAGACTCCCGATGACTGCTCCGGTTGCTGTGACCTGGACATCATCTGCAAGCCGTGCACCGCCCCGTGCTCGGCTGCCGATGACTCGGGCTGCTGCTCGTCGTGCTGCGACTCATTGCTCCGCATCCCGGCAGACATGTGTGACTTTCTCGGTCAGCTCTTCGGCTCGTGCGGCGACGTCTGCTCTTCTTGCTGCGACGGCCTCGGCCAGGTTGACTGTGACTGTCTCTCCGGCTGCGGCGACTGTGGCGATTGCGACTGCGGTGATTGTGACTGCAACTGCTGACCGTCGCCCCCCTCCCCCCGCGCCTACGAAACATTGAACACAGACTGAACACAGATTGTCATCACCACCTCCGACTTGCCACTGCTCTCTCCGTTGCACTCGGATCAAGGCCCGACATGGCTACGTTTGCACGCATCGACAACATCATCTACCTTGAGCCGATGGCGGGCGCCCGTGCCAATCGAGCTAGCTTCCCGTTTGCGCCATCCCACACCTTGCGCGTACATCTTCCTGCCGGCTCTAGCGACGCCGGGCCTGCCGGCCAGGTTGATCTTGCCGGTGATCACCCAATGACAGGAAAAGGGCGTGATCAGTGGCGCGATCAACCGGCAGCAGGAAAAAGCCGCCACGCCCCCCGCCGGCGCACCGTTGTCCGCACCTCGGTTGCCGGCACGCCCGGCATTCGACAGCAAGTGGGCCAGTGTCTGGTTGGGTTTATCCGACTCTCACTGCTTGATGCGCCAGGCACAGCAGCTGCGGTCCATGGCCTTGTGGCCGCCCGCCGGCGCGGGCGCGACGAGCTCGACGCGCTCTTCTTCGACGGCCGGTCGCCGGCGTCGGGCGCGGGGTCGCCGGCGAGCGTCCTCCACCTTGCGATTCTCGCCTTGCCAAGCCGTGTCGCGGGAGACTGGCCGTGTGTCTACCCACAGGCGATTGTGCGGGTGACGGCAAGCGCGATGCGTACGCTCTCGGGCGCATGCGTCACTTTCATCACGGCGAAGACCCGAGACGCTCTGGCGCGTGCAGGCCGCGCCGCCGCCGCCGCTGTCCTTGCCCACCACCTCGGCGCCGCGCCACTAGCGGTAGTTCCCGGCGGCCTCAGCGCCTTGCAGCTAGCGGTGGTAAGCGAGGCCGGGCCGAGGGTTGTCCGCCTCCGTGCCCGCCTCCCTCCACCACAGCATAGCCTCCAGCTCGCAGCGTGGACGACAAACGCGGAGCCACAAGACGACGACAACGCCATTGGCGGCCCTGTTCCGTTCGAGTTTGAGCCCGATGCCCCGAGCCCGGCCGAGCTGAGTCTCGACACCCACACCCTGCCCTCGCCACCGCTGCTCCTTCTCCCGCCGCCGCCGCCGCCGCCGTCATCACCACCGACTGCAGCAGTCTTCCCGACTGTCCGTCTCCAGCCGATGCGGACTGTCGGCCTCCGGCGCAAGGCAGCGCGGCTCCTCACTGCCACGCTCGCGAGGTCTGGCTCTGCGTCACCAACGGCGCCAGCCAAGCGACGGCGGACGCCGGATTCTGGCTCGACGCCGCCGCGCAAGCGGCGCCAGCCATCATCGCCGCCGGTATCGCCTCCCTCGCCGGTCATCACTGTCACCCGCAAGGCCGACGGCCGCTTGTTTGTTTCCGGGTAGCAAATCAAAGGCAAGTAGGGTCAATGTTGGCCAGGTGCCGAGAGAGGAGAAGGGTGAACCTATGGGCCATGGTGATGATGTCATGTGGGACTTCGGTGGCAGTGCCGGAAATCGAGACCACGACCTTGGTTCCAACCGACGCAAGCGACTCGAGCTGAGCCAACGATTTGTCCAAGTTGGCCTGGTAGAGCTCGACAAGCTCGACAAGGTCGACTGACTCGGGATCAAAGATGCCGCCAGCAAGACCCTCGAGCGAGCTGCCGCCGGCGACGGACGAGGCCGACGAGTTATCGAGCTCCGACAATGAGAGATCAGCTCGCTGCGAGCCAGGCGGAGCGAGCAGAGGGCCCGATTGAGAGGCCTGCTTGGCCGGCGCAGTAAACTTGTCATACGACGGAAGCCGACCGAGTGACGCGAGTTTGCGTTCCCAATGGTCACGGGTTGCCGCCGATGTCCGCGCCGAGCGCTTGGCGAGAGGCGAGCGGACAAAGCCCGCGGCCTCGTGCTTCTCGAACCGCATTCGGAGCTGAGCCTCACGGCCCTTGACTGGTTCTTGCTCGCCGTTGTCGGAGCTCACGGGCGCAGTCTCGGCGGGCAGCGGCTCCGAACCGGGATACAGCGAGCCAAAGTGCTTGGCCGGCGAGGTGATGGCGGAGACGACTCGCCGCTCACGGGCTCGGTCACGCTTGCCTTTCCGGAACCGTGGCGGCGGGCCGGCGCAATACACGCTGTCATCCTCGGGCCGCGACTGCTTGTAAGTAAACGACCTCGAGTGGATAAGGATGGTCGAGACTGGCCGCCTTCCTTCATCGCTGGGCGTCATTGGCGACGGCAACAGCCGCGGCCTCGGCGAGAGCGAGGAAGATGGCGATGGGCTTGGGGCACTGGATACGGGCGGTGCCAGGCTTGACGAGTTCGACGGGGCAGGCAGCGGCGACGGCGGAGGCGGCGGCGGGAGGCCATCGCTGGCCAAGCCCGGTTGAGCGACCGTGGCCGATGGCGGCGGACGCGCATACCGCCGTCCACGCATCAGACCCTTTTTCCACGGCAGAAGCAACGAGACTGCGGTCTCAGAGGCGAATGAAAGCGAGGGTGGGCGCGGCGGCATCAGCGAGAACGGCAACGCGCCCCCCGAAGAGTGCGAAGCGTGCGAGGAGGCGAGCGGTGAGTCACGCGGCGAGGCCTCCGAGGTCGTCGGCTCGTCACCGGCGGCGAGCGAGGTCATTGAAACCGAGCCGGTCGGCTCGGTGAGGAGCTCGGTGAGGTCAGCCGACAATGTCAGGTTGATCGAGTTGACAAAGGCGCGACGGGAGCCCGGGCCCGACGGCGCAAGCTCGACGGACCGCTGGCTGGCGAGCTGCGCTCGCCGGGCCTTGTGGATGTCGCGCAGCGTCGGCGCCCGTTGCCGCGGATGCAGTAGCGCCTGCGAGGCACCGGCGGCGGCGCCGGGGGGCGAAAAGCCCGACGAGGTTGCGGTAAAAAGGGCACGAACAACGTCAAGGTCGACAATCGGCGAGTGGTCGAGCGGCTCAACGTCTGTACCAGGGTCGGACATGGTGTCCAGATCGGCGGCATCCTTGACGACAAACTCGACGAGCCGCGCTTGAGCCCGATCGTGGGCAGTGATGATGCGCTCCAGCGACGACCGCGCCATATGCTGGATGCCGGACGATCCCGAAGAGCCCGAGGAGACGGACTCGAGCGAGAGCATTGAAAGGTGCCACATGAACGACCACGAGTCCATTCGCGAGAACGAACGCATGAGCGACCGCGAGCTCGAGGCCGATGAGCCCGAGCCAAAACGCGACGGCAGCGCCGAGAGGAGCTTGTGCCGCGGCGAGATGGCTCTCGGCAGCGACATCGACGACGGCGACGTGGGCGTGACAGAGAGCATCGGCACCCCGCGGCTCCGTGGTGACGATCCCGTCGACGAGTGGATCGAGTGCGAGGCATCCTGCGACGCTTCCGAGACCACGATGCCGAGCACATGGTTCATAATGTTGGTCAGCGGCGAAATGCTGGGTGCCACCGGGGCCGTCTTGCCGCTCGGCGGCAGCGCTGCAGCCGGCGCATTGCTTGCCGCAAGCGACAGCGTTGTCACCGTCGTTGACGAGCCGGTTGTTGACGAGCCCGAGCTCGTGGTTGACTGGCTCGAGATGGCCGACTCGGAGAGAAAGAGAAAGATGATGTTGCCGACGCATGCCGACGGGTGGAAAGGAGCGGAACCAAGAGCCAGAGCAAGTCGTGCATGCGTTCCGCCGCAGACGCCGGCGCAGGCTGGATGTCCAGCGTGACTGAGACCGGGCTTGCCAGTGACATGACATCGTCTGAGCTCGGCGCTGACGACGACGACGAGACCGAGTCAAGGTCGAGACCCAGGAGTCGGATGTGATGCGAGGGAAACCCGCGCCGCGTGCTGCCGGCTACAGTGCCAGAGTCACTGGATTGTGAGCTTGTGAGCGATGCACTGGTCGCGCTGGTGTCGGCGGCGTCAGCGGCAACTGTCGCTACGCCGTTCACCTTGCTCTCGTCGCCAGACGAGTCAAAGAGCGAGTCGTAGTCGGTGGACGAGGAGTCAGACGACGATGACGATGATGTCAGTACCGACGACATGGTTGGTGTAAGCGACGAGGTTGACGATGTGAGGCCCGACACGAGGTCCGACGACGACAGCGACGACGACGACGACGACGATCCTGCTGCCATCACTTGGGATGATGACGATGAAGATAAAGACGAGGAGAGGTGCAGCCGAGCCGAGACGTCAATACCTCCGGAGTCGAGCTTGTTACATGTCTCGTGGATGGTGTTCGGCTCAGAGATTGGGAACATCAGGTCTGAGCCTGAGTCCGAGTCGGACATTTCACGGACATCGCCCCGGGCCGAGAGCGATCGCGAGTAGGACGGCGATTGTGAGTGGGAATGCGGCGGGGAGCGCGAGACTGACCGCGATGGCGACGGCGCACGGAGCGAAATCATGGGTGCGGCGGCGATGAGCGGGACTTGGTCCACGAGCGGAGGTGTCACCGCTCGCCCGCAGAGGATGAGTGACGACGATGGCGACGACGGCTCAGCAGGACCGGTGTCTGAGCCTTGCCCGGTACCGCAGTACGAGCTGGAGCGGGTCTTGGACATGTCAGTCTGTCGTTCAGAGACCGAGATGGCGTCAGACGACGCAGACTTGGCGAAGAGGTCGCTCGACGGCGCAAGGAGTGAGTTACCGGTGCTCTTGATGGTTGAGGAGAGCGTGGCTTCGCTGTTGCCCCCAGCCGCAAGTATGGCAGCTTCAGCAATGCTCTTGAGGGAGCCCTCCTTGCGTGGGCGCGCCGAGCCCATCGGCGACGACGTATTGGACGCCCGCGCCGAGTTGAACGAGCTGGCGGTGGTGTTGGAGACCAGAGAGGCGACGGTGGCGACAGAGACCGAGCCTGCGATTCCACCCGAGGTGTATGGCGAGGTGAGGCCGTTGGCGTGTGTGGCGTGCGCTGTTTTTGTGCCGCCCGCCGCGCCCTCCGCCTCATGGTTGAGCTCGAGCCGGATCGGTCCAGCGAGTCGGAAACATGCTCGGATCGCGGCGAGACACAGCCATTCTGCGCATGTCCATGACGGCAGGAGCCGTCAACCGCTTGGCTTCTTTCACCACCAGCACCGGCGCCACCAATGTTGCTGTCCAGTTCTACATTCGTTTGTCTGGCGTCGTCTCCGGCTTGCTCACCGCCGCTGCGAAGCTGGCCGGCGCTCCCAACGCCACCTCTTGCGGCGGCTGCCGCATTGTAAACCGAGTCTTGAACTTGGTCGTGGACAGGCGCAACTTGGTTGCGGCGGCTTCCCCTCCAGCCCGAGTGTCGACGTCCGTCGCGGGGTGTAACCTCGCTGCTGAGGCCACCAACGCGCCGGCTCTGTGGCGGCGGCTCGGAGCCTCGTACCTGCTGCCGGCGGTGGTCAGGCGGACGACCCCCGGTCTTACCGACCCAGCCCGTGAGCACCCGGTGCCCATGGCCAATGTCTGTGGGGACGCTGTGAGAGGAGTGTGCTAGTGTGTGCGGGTGGGCGTGTGCGAGTAGACGAGGTGGACGATAAGTTGGTGGTGACACCGGAGGGAAGGGAGGGGGTGAGGGGGAGGGGGGGGGGAGGAGTGGGGCTGTCCACGCTCAGAAAATTGCTCGATATTGGTCGATGGCGCAAAAAAAAGGGAGGGGGGGGGGGGGTGGAGGGGTGCAAAAAATACTTCAAGTCAAAGGGCGGCACCCAACAGGAGACGTGAGGGTGTGAGAGGGATGCGCTTGGGGATGTGTGTCATCGTGAAAGGGGGATTTGTTCAGAGGTCTAGCGGCCAGGCTGGAGAAGGGAGGTAGCATGTGCTTGTGTCAGGATGATGGACCTCCACGCACAACGCTAAAAGCAGGACGAGGACAGCCGAGGAAAAAAGACGACGGGGCAGCTGAGGGCGGGCAGCCTCTACTCGGGGACAACAAGCGGAAGCGAGAGGTCGGTGAAAGCGAGGAGGACGTCCGACATGGAGAGCTGGCCGAGCGGCTTGCCAGCTTCGTCGACGAGCCAGACGCGATGCACCTTTTCAGCGACAAGGAGGTCGATGACGTCGCCCAGCGAGGTCTCGGGCGCAGCCTTGATGAGCGGGCGCGGGGTGTGGGCCTCTGCGCGAGAGGCGAGAAAGTCGAGGACCGGGTCTGCGAGTGAGGCAAAGTTGGACTTGTTGATGCCGCGCAGGTCCGAGAGCGAGAGGTTGCCGACGAGGACGCCTGCGTCGTCGACGATGCCGACCGACGAGCGATCCATGACAACCATCTTGCGGAAGCCGACAAGGGCGCGCTGGTCCGAAGACATGGTGACGGGCGTGCCCTTGTGCGGCAGGAGCGGCGACGCGAGGAGCTCGTCGGGAAGCTCAGCCTTGTGGGCGTGGAGGAAGCGGACAATGTCGGTTTGCGAGACGAGGCCTTCGGCACCGGGAGCGCCGGTCGAGATGAGGACACGATGGACACCTGCGCAGAACGGATACATGACGTCGTTGATGTGCGCTGCTGCAGGATACGTCTTGAACGACCACGCCGAGCTGGCCTCGGACGAGACTGCGCCGAGGATGTCTGAGACAGGCGCGTCCATGCTCTCGAGGTTAGAGAGATCAACACGGAGGTAGGCGTCGCCCTCTGCGATGGCAAAGACGCAAAACGCGACAATGTCCACCAGGTTGATGATTCCGATGCACTCGGTTGAGTCACCGGGCGTCTGCGCATCGCCGGCTGCCCGCACAGGCACTGACGTCACGCCGTACTTGGCCATGAGCGCGAGAACCTGCTCGATCGTGGTGTCGTGCCGAACCTCGATGAGCTTTTCTGGGACGGTCATAACGTCACCGAGCGTCGCATCCAGTGCCGCAATGTGGCTGGAAGACATGTCGGTAGCTTCTGTACTCTGCATGATGTGTTTGAGAGACGGCCAGTGAGGTGAGCAAGGAAAGATGTGATGGTGTAGCAAGAGCTGGCCGTGAAGCCGTCTGGCAGGAAAAGCGGCTGCGGTTTTTAACGCCGCCCAAAGCTGGGATGGCCGGGTCAGTGTGGGACACGGGTCAGTCTGGGACCACTGCCATACATGACGGCAGCTAGCGCCACAATCATTAAGCCGTTTGTCTCACAAATGGACTATGCTGCTGTTTGGGAGTGGTGCGAGGTGCGCACTGCCTCATCGCGGCATGCAGGAGCGAAGGGCGGGTCGGGGGAAGGGTGGCAGCGTTCACGCGGAAAGTCACACAGGTGTGCGGCCTGCTGACCGACTGCTGCGCATGTGTGAGGCGTGCACGTGGGGGCGACTCTCTGGGCAGCGTACGGGATGTAGCACAATGAATGTAGAGAGAGTAGGGAGAGGTTGATGCTTTGTGCTGGGCGGCTGTTTGTGTGGGAGAGGGGGGGGGGGGGGGAGGAACGGGGCGGGGGGAGGAAAAGGAGGAAACGGGAGGGGACCGATGTAAGTCAGCCGACCGGGCATCAATCCTAAATGAATACACACGTGGCTAAAATTTGTTGCACGTAGCTGAAGTTCCACTGGCGCCGTACTTTTCTCACTCCCATATGTCGCCTGCGTTGCCATGACGTGCTCAACTCGCAGACTCGCAGCGACCACTGACGACAACCTCCACACCCGCAAGCAATAGCGGTAGGTCAGCACACTTTACCATGTTCACCTTTGCAACTCGGACTGCTGCACACACCCGTACGTCACCACTAGTCCCCCTCCCCTCCTCCCTCCCCCAGCGACAATTTGAGTCTGGTCATCTCCAGACCACAAAGACCGCGACTCATTTGACGAGCCCGAGCGTGTGTACGGAAGCTCACGCTGAGCATCGGGGGCGCTGTGGACGACGCGCGCCGGCATTGGCGATCCCGTCCCGCCGCAAACAATGACGGATTGCCTCTCCGGCTCGCGTTGTGGTAGCGACGGACTCATATCCCAATCCGCCGGCGGCGCGTCACACGGCCGCAGCCTCGCTGGGCGGGCGTCGGCATCGCCGGCGGCAGTCAAAAGCTCCTTGGACGCAGCGTCCGACTCGATAACGACGTCTCGCCGAGTACCTCATCCCACGACTCGATGTCAAAGTCTGCGCCTTCTCGAGCCAGCTCTGGCGTAAGCACGTCTTCCATTGTAGCAAT